CGGTGATGAACTCCTTTAGCTTTTTCTTTGTGAACTCTATCTGACCTTCAATTCTAAATGATAGCTTTGCTGGGTAGAGTTATCTTGGTTATAGGTCCTTTCTATTCAGCACTTCGATTATTTCTTGCCACTCCCTTCTGGCCTGCAAAGTTTCTGTTGATAAATCAGCTGACAGTCCTGTGGGTGCTCCCTCATAGGTAACTAACTGCTTTTCTCTTGCTGCTTTTAAGATTCTCTCTTTGTCTTTAACCTTTGGCATTTTGATTATGATCTGTCTTAGTGTGGACCTCTTTGGGTTCATCTTGCTTGGGACTCTTTGTGCTTCCTAGCCTTGTAAGTCTATTTCTTTCACCAAGTAGAGGCAGTTTTCTGTCATTTTTTTCTTCAAGTAGGTTTTCAGTATCTTGCTCCCTCTCTCTTTCTGGCACTCCCATGAAGCAAATGTTGGTACACTTGAAGTTGTCCCAGAGGCTCCTTACACTATCTTCGGGTTTTTGGATTCTTTTTTCGTTTTGCTCTCCTGATGTGGTGTTTTTTGCTTCCTCATATTTCAAATCGCTGATTTGATTCTCAGCATCCTCTACTCTACTCTTGATTACTTATAAATTATTCTTTATTTAAGTTAGTGTATGTTTAATTTCTGACTGGTCCTTTTTTATGTCTTTGATGTTCTCACTAATTTCCCTGAAATTTTCACTGAGGTCCTTGAAATTCTCACTATGTCTCTTGAAGCTCTCATTAAGGTGTTTGAGCATCCTTATAACTATTGTTTTGAATTCTGTATCTAGTAGTTTGCTTGCTTCCATTTCATTTAGTTCTTTTTCTGGAGATTTCTGTTCTTTCCCTTGTGACATGTTTGTTTGTCTCCACATTTTGGCGGCATCCCTGTGTTTATTTTTATGTATTAGGTGGAGCTGCAATGTCTTCTGGAATTGGTAGAGTGGCTTTGTGTAGTAGGTGTCCTGTAGGGCCCAGTGGCTCAGCCTCCACAGTCACCCTAGCTGGCACTGTAGACTGTCTTGTAGTTGAGCCTTGATTGCTGTTAGCATCTCTGGGAGAAATTGACCCCCTAGGCCAATTGGCAGTTTAGACCAGTTGCGACTACAGTGGAAGAGCTGCTATGCAGGAGACACCCTTATGGGGCAGGACTTGCTTCAGTGGGGCTTTGGTGCTCACCGAGTCTGCCCCTTGAGTGCATCATTTGTAGATGTTTTTAGAGTTGTAACCTGGCATGGTCTGAAGGTGTCCACTGGGTACACAGGCTCTGCGGTCCCCCCTGCAGTCAGCCTCTGCCTGTGGCCTGCCTGGGGCTACCTGTCAGGAGCTACAGAGCGATCTGTAGATGGCTGCTACTTGTGTTGGGCTTGGAAGGGCCCAGGAGAGGCCAAGCTGTAAAACAAGGCAGGCTCCTGCTTTGCTGGGCCTGGAACCTCTTATTGGGAGGTATGGGGCACACTGAGTTCAGCTACTGTTTGAGAGATTTTAGGACAGACAGAAGCCTGAGCCAGGACAGGCCATTCATATGGAGAAGCTGCTGCAAACAGCTTGGGTGGGGCTGCAGATTGGATGGGGCAGGGTCTCAGGGTCACCAGAGCAGAGCAAACAGTGCGAGCCAGTCTGATGGAAACTCATATGGTGCCTATCATTCAGCTCTATGGCCGGGGTGGTCCCAGTGCAGGAATAATCTCCCCTGTGAGCGTCCCTGTCTGGGAGAAAGCCGCCCCCAAGTTCTTGCCTGGTGTCAGACAATTCAGTTCCTCCCCTTATTTATGTCCCTGGATCCCCCCAAGCCGCTGCCCCAGCGTTGGAGCTCAGAGGAAGCGAATCTGAATAAGTCTGTGTGCCAGCCCTTTAAGAGGAACTGCCTGGTCTCCAGCAGCCTCTCTGTGCGTCACCCACAATCTCTGCTGGTTTTTACAGCCTGAAGTTACGGGGACTTTTCTTCCTGGCTCTGGAACCCTGGGCTGGGGGTCTGGTGTGGGGCTGGGACCCTTCCCTCAGCCTAGATACCCCTTCTAAAAAAGATGGCACACGTGGTTGTCGGGCCAGCCCGTTCTCTGCCTTCACCCCTCCTGTCGGTCTTAATGTGCTTTCTTCTTCTCTAGTTGTAGGACTTGAGCGAGATTTCAGGCAGTTCTGAATGATGGTTCTGTATTTTGTAATTTTGATGTGGTTGTGGGAGGCGGCGAGTACAGGCATTTACCTACACCGCCATCTTGGTTCTCCAGACAGAACCTTTCAAGCCACACACATTCAGCAGGCTTCCGCTGCCGCTGAGGGAAGGTAACCGGTGGAATGGTTTTGTTTTATATCGAGCAAACAACATTCAGTTAAAATTCAGCATTTAATCCAAAGAATGTTAGCTTTGAGGGGGCAGGGCTCGGCCTCTGTGGTTGCTGTGCCCAGAACACCTGCTAGGACGAGGTCTGGCACGTGGGCATTCATAGTTGCCGGTAAGGTAGTCTCTCTTGATTTATTAGCATCCGGTAACCTGCAGCAGTTTTACCAGCCCACCGTCTTTGTAAAAAACAATCTGTATTGCACAGATTTTCTGTGGATGGTTGGCATTTTCTTTATTTCTGACTCTAGGGTTGAAAGCAGGTTCCTCTTAAAGAAACCTGTCTGCAGTGAGCAATGAGTGGGCTCTGGAACCCAGGGGAGATGGGTGCTGTGTCTCTAAGTGGCCGAGGGGTGTCCCGCTGGCCGGTCTGCTCCCCTGCTGGCAGGTGCATCCGTGTGGGCAGGTGCATCTCCCTGCAGGGCCGTCTGCAGGATCGCATGACGCTCTCTGCAGGCTCTGGGGCGGATAAGTAGTCATTCCAAGAAAGGATGCTTTCCTTCCCTCAAGGGTGGGTCCTCTTTCTAAAAGTTTCGCAAGTCAGGAAAGAACGCTTGATTGCTGATAGCAGAAAAAGAACAGTCATGGTTCGGTACTGTAATGGGGTCAGTCCTTACAGAGCGCTAAACCCAGGAAAAGTGAGTCAACTATTACATCACCACCTGGCATCCTTCTACCCTGAAATTGTGTGTCCTGTCAGTTTAGTCATTTAAGCTTTATGGACTTTTACATAGTAACCATGGAAATATTTGCCTGACAAGGGTTCCGCCAAAGTGATTTTTATGTGGTTAGATGGGTGTTCAGGGACAGGCCCAGCTTATCCTAAAAGTTCCCCGCCTTCCACCCCCACGTTCCCTGCCGTCCGCCCCCTGCGTTCCCCACCGTGCCTTCCTCCCAAAGCCTCTTCCCTCTGGCCGGATTCTGAGTGCAGATCGTCCGGATAGGTTCTGTGTGAACTCTTGCTTGTTCACCCTCTCCACACTTCCCACCCCGCACACGGGCCCTGCCCGTCTCAGGTGCTGCATTCGTGGGGTCATCGTGGCATTCACTTGGGTGGGGGCTGGGGGACAGTTAGAATGGGGCAACAGTTCGGAGAAGACTTGGTTAAAACTCTTCAAGAAGTTCATTTTTTTGTTGTTTTCTATTGATTTGAGAGAGAGAGGAAGCAGGAGGGAGAGAGAGAAATATCAATTGGTTGCCTTCTGTAAGTTGTGCCCTGACCGGCAGTAGAACCCAAAACGTTTTTGGTGTACAGGATGGCGCTCCAACCAACCGAGCCACCCGAGTTCACTTTTTGTTTGCTTGTTTTGTTAATTCTCACCCAAGGATATTTTTTCCATTGATTTTTTTTTTATAAAGAGAGAGTGGAAGGAGGGAGGGGGAAAGAGGAACATGGATATGAGAGAGGCACATTGATTGGTTGTCTCCTGCACATGCCCTTACCGTGGCTGGGATCAAACCTGCAACCCAGGTACGTGCCTTTGACAGGGAATTGAAACCAAACCCTTCGGTGTGTGGGCTGGTGCTCCAGCCATTGAACCACACCAGCCAGGGCAGGAGTTCACTTTTAAGTACTTTTCAGAAGCTATGACAACATCAGTTTTATTTATAACAATAAATAAAATACAAAGTACAAAACAATTTTTTTTCCAAAAAATACAAGAGGAAGCTATATTTATGTCATCGTGAGATCTGATGACCATAGGATTTTTAAGTATTTTGTGGTGTTTGAAATGGAACGTGCGTGTGTAATTGCGAGTACAGTTCAACATGTGACATGTTTCAGCCCATGAGGCTCCTCACTTCCAGTGCCTGTTTCTGCACTGCTCTCGGTGTGGGGAGGGCCTTCCTGGGGGCGAGTGGAGACGTCTTCCCATGCGTCTTCCCATGCGTGGCGGATGTTCTGAGGACTTGCCTTTTTGTTTCCTTTCATGTTGGCTGTCATGTGGCTTTAATGGCTCCATTAGCAAGCAGGTGAGGACATTGGTGACAGTGTAACGAAAGCCTCCCGCTTTTTTCTTCCTCAGAGATGCCTTTGCTTTTATACCCAGAACTTTTTCTGCCCCCACGTGGGGTTGCAGACTTGCACCCATTGGCTGCGTGAATAGGCAGAACACACAGTTACGCTTTGACTTGGCCCTGCGGTGGCCCGGCGCTGCACCCACCTGCTTAGGCACACAGTCCGGCAGGCTGCCCGGTGTCCTTTCTCCCGTGTTGCTCATTGTGCTCCTAACGGAACCACCATTTCATCTCATAATCCTCTGTGATGTTGGAAATTACCCCTAGGAGTTTTACCTGGTATTAAGGTCAAAGTAGTTGTTTTACTGACAACCTCAATTTTTATGTCCTCAAGTGTTTCCAGTGATTTTTATTCATGTGTGTGTGTGTGTGTGCCTTCTTGAAGTGGCAGTATATGATTGGCCAGGAAATTTTTGAATTTTGCAACGCTGGAACTCCAACTGTGAGAAAGGATGTCATTCTTACACCCCTTACTCTTCAAGCAGAGTTAGGTGGCGGGTGAGCCACGACGATCCGTTACTGTAGGTCTGGAAGTCAGGGAGCTTCCAGAAATAGGAGTGTGTGTGTGCGAAGGGCTTGCTGCCTGCACACCTGTCTACCTGACCGTGGAAACGATGTAATTCTTGTTTTTGTTCTGGTGCAGCTTCCATGCGGCAGTCTCAGGCCCTACCTGCAGACATGCGTCCGGAGATGTGGATCGCTCAGGAGCTGCGGCGGATCGGGGATGAGTTCAACAACTCCTACCGCAACCCACGGAGGGTAATGAGGATTTCTTACTTACTCACCCCTCTTCTCCCACGCTCCCTCCCACCCACATACATTAAAGTGGCCAGTCATCATCCCACGCATGTTCTAGAAGTGATGGGCGTGGCCTGCGTGTGGCCTGCCGTTCCTCCTTCCCGTGTTCCGTTTGTGTTACGGCTGAACTCAAGCGCTGGTGGCTCAGCAGAACCCAGTACGAGGTGGCAAAGGGGGTTCGTGAGCACAAGCCTTAAACCATCGTAGATACTTTGAAATCGTCCCACATAAATGTTACCATAGTTTCAGCCCATATTGGAGTGTCTATACGCCCGTTAGTCAGTTTGGGTCAAAGTTAAAGAAACATTTAACTCTCCGTCCTCACTCAGCCAAGGAAATGAGGCCCTGTGGTTTGCTGGTGATGGGTCGGAGCGTGTGACGTGGTCCTTTTGGCCCCATTGGCTCTCCTTGGACTGTCATTTACTGAAACGTATTAGAAGTAGGAGGCCATTCATTAATGTCCTGGAAAAATTACACCTCTGCCACAACAATTTTACACCCCGAGTTGATTGCCACTTAAATTTTTGGGGTGTGCAGTTGATTTTGTTTTTTTTTAAATATATTTTATTGATTTTTTACAGAGAGGAAGGGAGAGAGATAGAAAGCTAGAAACATCGATGAGAGAGAGACATCGATCAGCCGCCTCCTGCACATCCCCTACTGGCAGGCACATGCCCTTCACCGGAATCGAACCTGGGACCCTTCAGTCCGCAGGCCGACGCTCTATCCACTGAGCCAAACCGGTTTCGGCCAGTTGATTTTATTTTTGTTTAAATTAAGCCCTATGTCTTGTTCGGTAGACGCAGTGTACTTCCTGCTTGCCTGGTATTGGTAGACGTTACCATTGGGCACCTTTTCCCCATGAAGACATTTGAGGGAGTGTGACTTCAACTCTGAGAGTTCAGTGGGGCCCTTAGGAGCATGTTTGACTACGTCACTGGTTCTCAACCTTCCTAATGCCGCGACCCTTTAATACAGTTCCTCATGTTGTGGTGATCCCCAATTTCATTGTTACAAATTGGACATAATTAAAGCATAGTGATTAATCACAAAAACAATATGTAATTATAGATGTGTTTTCCGATAGTCTTAGGCGACCCCTGTGAAAGGGTCGTTCGACCCCCAAAGGGATCGCAACCCACAGGTTGAGAACCAGTGGACTACGTCCTGTGAGGGGCTCACCGGCCAGTGTGTGATTTCATGGAATTCTGGCTGGTTTACATTTTTTTCAAACAACCATGTATGGAGATACTTCTGTTGATTTATTTAAAAGGAAGACACTTAAATCTTACTTTGTAGGAAATAATGGTTAATGTCATTCCTACTGTGTCACTTCCCTTCTGTTTCTTTCTGAGCACTATCGTTGCATGTGAAGATATTTTTAAATCTCGTTTCTTCTGGAGGGAGGTCGTGCTTAGGACACCTCCCTGTTTCTATCCTGCACTGAATGTTGGTGCGGTTGCTAAGCAAATAGACGTTACCTGTTACTAGCTTTCGATCATTCCTGCCCATATACGTCCTTTCAAGCTTTTTTAAGCACATTGAGACAGTTTCCCATTTCATGGTGGGGGGGACTTTCATTTCTTTGGTGTAGAATCTCCATAAAGGGGTCAGGGACTTTCAGAAAACTCACACTGGATCCCCTTCAGACCTTCCTGTGGGAGAGGGTGGTGTGTGGTGATTGGTGGGAAATGTCTGACAGTGTGATTCTGCCATTAAATGGGAAATGTCACTTAGGAATTTCTTAGGATACTGTCTTTAAGCCGGCAAAATGTCTGGCATTCTAACCTAACCTGACATGGACCAGTTCACAAGAACGTAAGTTCCTTCTCAGCCTAGATCTTGAAATGGAAATTGTGTTTTGCAGGGCTGATTGTTTTATAATGTGCAGTAAAGTTACTGTTCCCCACTTCCTCTGCCGAGTTTCTCCGAGGGGCTTTCGGGAGTGCTGTGTGGCTGGGCAGGACTCCTCAGCGAGGGCCCAGTGGGTGGGCCCTCGGTTGGTCCCCATGCCGAGGTGGGCGTCCCTGCAAGAGGGTGGGCTGCCTAGATCCAAAACCTGATTGATTCTGGATTGTGCCCGTAATCCAGCAGGAAGGTCTCTGGGGAGCCTGGCAGCCCCTCGGGGTGAGTCTGGCAGTGAACCAACCCCAGCAGCTGGCCTGCCTCCTACACCGGCTCCAGGTGGGTTGGTAGATGTCTTTGGGACCAGATCTGTCCCAGAGACGAGGCCCTTGGGCCCTGGCGCCTTCAGTGTCCAGAAGCTCCGGACATGTAGATACATCAACACGGTCCTGCCCGGTGACTGTGCCAGAGCCTTTGGCCGCAGAGCCAGGTGTGTGGAAGGATGTTTTGTACATTTCTCTAACCTTCTATGGAGAACCAGTGTCCACTGAGCTCTCCCCCGAGCCTGCCCAGACGGGTCTTGGTGATGCCCCTCTACGGGGGCCTTAGGTGGTCAGTGATGAGACAAGAGTAAGGATGACGTGGGGGTTGGAGCACAGCCATCCCTTCATCTAGGCTGTCGAAGGGGTGACCAGTTCTAGTCACGGGCAGATGAGACACAGGCCATTAGGTCGTCTTCATCACCTCGTCTCTCCATTGCAGGTGAGGTGACAGCATCTACCATGTCAGTAGCATTCGATCATTCCCGTCCTTCCTCCCCCTCCTCCCACTCATTCCAGTTTAATGTTTAAGATGGTTGTGTCTCCTGTTGCAGATATGTAGCCATCTGCTCTCAATGTATTTGATAAAAGTGTAAATCTCATTGCATTCTTTTGCTATAAGTCGGCTGGGATACTGGGGGGAGGAGGGACATTCAGGCTATAGGTTGTAACCTGATGTTTCTAAAAAGGAGGCTAATATATCCTCCAGGTTTTATAAGTGGCCAGTTCAGACACCAGACTCTGAAACTCAGGGTAGTGACACGGTGACCCCGAGAGCCACAGGTGCCTGCCTTGATGGTGTTACATTAAACAGTCCATTGTCTGCAGTCACACTGACGGTTTATCCTTGAATACCGGGGCCAGAAATTTGGGGGAAACGGGAGGCCTTTTGGGAAAGTGATGCCTTGAACTTTCACGCTGGCTGCGCACGGAAGCCTTTGCCCCTCGGCGAGCGTGCATTTCAGATACTTGGTGCCTGTATTTGCTTTAATACCGTGACAGTACCTTTTCTGAAGTGCTGGTCTTTGATTGCCACGAGCATGCGAAGCCTGACAGGATATTCTCCCGTTTTTCCAGTTAGAGCAATAGAGGAAGTTGTCGCGTAGTTGTCGTGTGTTCAGGCCGCGTCAGGGCTGTGGGGCAGCGTATGACACGGAGCTGTGGCGTCTGAATCCTGGAAGCAGGAGTGAGAGAGGCACAGGTGAGCAAGTCCACTGCATGTTCCCTTCCCCTGTGACTCCGCGTGATGCCCCAAGTGACCTCCAGGGCCGACGACACCCCTCCTCCCCATCGGAGGGCAGCTTCCCCGCGCCACGTCGGGCTGGTTTTGTGACTTGTTCCGAAATCATTTCAGACTTACACAGAAGTCGCAAGGATGGCACGAAGAGCCCTCTTCTGTCTGCCACCTCTGCTCTCTCCCGTTACCCTTCCCACATTTGCTCTAACGCTTCCCCCCCTCATACCTGTGTACATGTTATTTTCTGAAGGATTTGGGGATACATTGCGGGCATGGTGTCCCTTTACTGTTAAGTACTTCTGTGTGTGTTTCCTAAGACGAAGGGTCTTTTCTTCTGTAACCTCAGTGTAGTCATCAGAATCAGAAGCTACCCATGTTGCGGTAATGTTGTGTAGTCGGTGGACCTTATCCCCACGTGACCCACTGTCCCAACCGTGGGCCATGTGTCCTTAGTGCTCAGCATCAGGAGGCACGCGCCCCGTGCCGCGGACTCTTGTTAAAGGTGGTGCTCCCAGCTGTCGTCAGCACTTTCCTGTGTTGATGGGAGGGACACGTGCACAGGGGGACAGCTCTCCTCTCTCCCCGGGCGTCCCTTCCTTCCTTCATCAAGTTCATGGGTCCCAGTGTATTTTTATTTATTTTATTTCATTTCGTTGATGAGAGAGAGGGAGAAAATCATCGATGTGTTTTCCCACTTATTTGTGTATTCATTGGTTGATTCTTGCATGTGCCCTGGCCAGGGATCGAACCCGCAACCTTGGCGTAGCGGGATGACTTTCTAACAACTGAGCTACCAGCCGAGGCTGTGGGTCCCTGTTTAATTCAGGGGGTTATGATGTGTTACACTCAGTACTTATTTTGATGCTCAAATTGTCACAGCTTTGGCCAGTGGCAGCCGCCTGGTGTCTTCTCGCCACGTCATTGAACATAAAGTGTCAGGTAGTGGAGGCCCACGGACAGACAGCGTGCTGTGGGACTGTAGGTGGACATGTGGCCAAATGACCCGCACCCGCACCGTGTCCTGACTCTTACAGCTCCAGGACTCCGCAGGGGGACAGGTGAGCGCGGGGCTGACGGTCACCGTCCCGGACAGACCTCTCAGAGAGGCGAGGGCTCTGTGTGGGGCTCTGTGACGAGGGCGAGTAGCTTGCGGGGAGTGAGCGGTGCAGGGTGGTGGCCTGTGCTTCAGCAGCCTGCCCTCTGACTCCGCTCCCTCACGGGTGGCACTGGTGCCCTGGGTTCCTGAGTAGCCTCTGCTAGTGTCTTTACCCTGAGAAACTGCGGGAGGGCGATCCAGGGCCCGGCCTTCCCTGCTGAGAGGCATCAGCAAGTGTGGGCGTGGTCACCCAAGGGTGCAGGGTGGCGTGTGCTTGCCCATGTGGATGGGCCAGGCTTGCGGTCTGAGGCTGTTGAGTGTGTGCTGGACCCTGCAAACCTGAAGCCACGTGCTCGTGGGGTAATTAGGCCCATCCTGTAGCCAGCGTGCCCCCAGGCCCCAGGCCCCAGTACCAGGGTCTGTCCAGCCTGAGCCGATCTGTGCTCGGCCCCTGCTGTTGAGC